GGTGGAGCTTTCCTTACCTCCTTCCCTTTCCCTTTTTTCCTTTTCCTTTTTTCTTTTCCCTTTTTTGCGCTCTGATTCACAATGTGACAATATATGTCGACAGAGCTGCTTTTGCGTATCGGCCCTGCATTGTGTGTATGTGCCCAGGCTATGTGTCCGAAATTCGATTCAACGGGGGTTTCCCGTTAAATGGTTCAATGGCCGTTGAACCCCCGTTATAGCTCCGCATTATGTCGCGTTACAATGCGGTACAACGTGGCCTGCAAATTTTTTTTCTGCCCTTAAGAATGTGTTAAAAAAAATAAAAAATATAGGGGGGTGTAGATTTTTTGTGCGCTCTACATCCCTATAACTTTTTTTTAATTTTCTGAGCATGTTAATGATTTAAAAAAAAATAAAAAACCGAAAGACTATTCATAGTACTGAAGAAAAAGCCTCAAAAAGGGAAAAAAAACAGGGCGGGGGGCCTAGATCGGGTCGCGGGGAGTTGGGGACCGTTTTTTGCAGCAGCGCAGAAAATGCCGCGCATTTGGCGCAGCAAACGACTGGAGATCGGCCATAAAAAGGCCGATTCTCGTTTGTCTGTTGCGAGTCATTGCGCGCCGTTAGTCGCGTTGGTTAGTCGATGAGACAGGCGGAGGAGGGTGTTGGAGGATCGCGGGTTCAACTCGTGGAAGGGTGGACGACGGCGGTTCGACGGGGTTCAACTCGGGTTCAACTTGGGTTCAACTTGGCTCGAAAAGGATCAACGGAGGTACAGACGCGGGTACAACGGGGGATCAACGAGGGTTCAACGGGGGTTCAGCAGCGGGTTGACGGCGAGGGAGGACGAGGCGGCGAGTCTCCTTGCAAGGCAGTGGGAGACAGCCAGACGGGGAGAGAGAGAGAGAGAGAGAGAGAGAGAGAGAGAGAGAGAGAGAGAGAGAGAGAGAGAGAGCCTGGCCGAGAGAGAGAGGCGACGAGGTGCAAGCGTCGGCACGGGAGAATCAACGACAGAGGTGGGGACTTCTTCTTCTTCTTCTTCTTCTTCCTCTCTCTCTCTCTCTCTCTCTCTCTGTCTCTGTCTCTCTCTCTCCCTCTCCCTCTCTCTCTTTCTCTCGACACGGGGGAAGGAG